GGATTGGTGGTGAATATGTGGAGTTGGTGAATATGTGTTGGTTGGGTTGGTGAATTTGTGGAGAATTTGTGGTTGTGAATTTGGGTTGGTGAATTTTGGGTTGGTGAATATGTGGAGATACCTGGAGAATGGTGCGCTTGCAGAGCACATGGAAGCTCTGTGTCTTTTCCCCATACCTTCCCCTATGCTTTTCTTCCATTTGGCTGTACCTGAGTTATTACCTTTACAAGAAATTGATAATCTAATGAGAAAACAGGTTTCTTGAATCTGCGAGCTCCTCAGGCAAATTAATCAAACCTAACCAGTGGGTAGTGGGAACCTCCAATCTGCAGTCAGTTCCACTGGCATCTGAAGTGAAAGGTGGGAGACTGAACACTTGACTGATACAATCTGATGCATTTCCTGGAAGAGAGCATTGGAATTGAGTGGGGTATCTGAGAATTGCTCTGTATGGGGAAGCCTCCACACACTCACATTCCAGTTGGATCCAGATCCTACACAGGGCCTTTAAGAAGGTAATTAAGGTTAAATGGGGTTGTAAGGGTGGGGCCTTTACCAATAGGATTGGTGTCTTAGAAGAGAGTAAGAAACATCAGTGATCTCCCTTTCTCTTCATGCATAGACGAAAGGCTATGTGAGGACATAGCAAGAAAGCACTAGTCTGTAAACTAGAAAGCGCACTCTTACCAGAAACAGAACTTGCTGGCACCTTGCTCTTGGACTTCCCAGCCTCTAGGATGGTGAGAAAATGTCTGTGGTTTAAGCCACCCAGTCTGTGGCATTTTGTTATGGCAGCATAGCTAAGAACACTCACACTGTTGCAGCGAGAGTGATATACAGTGCATGGCATATACAACCATGCCCTGGTTACTATGCGCTATCATGTGCTCTACCTCAGAGGATGTTCGTAACACCCATGCATCAACACTGTGAGGTGTGGAGTCAGACAAAAACTTACCTGAATCATGGACTGTCAGTTTCCAGCTTTAGCACCTTCAAGAAAATCCTAAATTCCTCTGAACCTCAATTTCCTTCTTTGACATTTGTCAAGTTGGTTAACTCCATCCTCTCCACAAAATTTAACAGGACTTATTACTGTTGAGCAATTTTATTCACCCTAAAGAAGCTGACTTCAGGTTTTTTCATGTCTTTTATTATCTCTAAATGTTCAAAAGAATATTAACTGTTGGTTTCTTTGAGAAGAGAGAAAATACTATAAAAAAAAATCCATTATTGTTGTGATAAAGGTTTCTCTACCTTCAAGCCTGGAAATTTCACTTCCTTAACCTTAGGTAGTGTGATTTGTGAGTCATTCAATATTGACACCTTTAAGTCAGACATCAGGCATGGGCTAAAGTTGACCTCTAGATAGTGGGGATTACTTGCAAGTCTCTTTGGGTCATTTGAACTCTGATTTTATCAGTGTTCTCAGAAAAGTAAACACAGAATCCATATATCAGATCTGTAACTATCAGGAATGGAATTCACAACAACAATAGACAATAAGAATTCACGAGGCATTGACCTGCTAATAATAATAATAATAACAATAATAATACAAAAGTATTGAGATTTACTAGGGACAGTCAGTAGCCAAGATGTTATATGTATTATCTCAATAACTTTATAAGGCTATATACCACAATCCCCACTTTTTATGTGAGGAGACGGAGGCACAGGAAAGCTAAATAACTTGCCCAAAGGCCTATAGGAGGAAGTGACAGAAAATTTTAAAATGCTCCATGGAGTCTGATTGCTGTCCAATGCTGTGATGTCTCCATGAAAGAGACCCTAATGTCTATCTTCTGGCCCACAGGCTTAGTCCTGCTTCTCTGTTGTAAGTAACACTAGGTAAGAGACCTGCTGTTGGGGAAGTTTCCACACACTTCCAACTTATATGTAAGTTTTTTTTTTAGAGATTTATTTATTTATGCATACAAGAGCTGGGGTACAGGACAGAGATGCGGGGGGTGAGAGGATTCACCAGAGACAGAGCAGGGAACAGAACAGGCAGACTGACCGAAGTACACTGCTGAGGGGAGCAGCGGGCAAGGCAGGAGAGGTCTGCTGCACCATGTGGGTTTCTCCCTGGCCAGCCGGGGATCCAACTCATGCTACAGAGGCTGTGGATTGCTTCACAGTGCGGTGCCTAACCCCTTGCGCCACCAGGGAGGCCCGATATGCAAGTTTTATTCCCATTAGCACAAATCCTCCTGAAACCATTGTTGTGTCTAAAATCAATCCACATGTTCTTAACTAAACAATATAGAAAACACTCTTCCAAATCGTTTTAATTAACACTAATATTAATGTAGCCAAGTCTGCATAACCAGTCCCCTGAAAAGACACACTCTGTATCTTTAAGTGTTTTGAAATTATTATTTGCCAGACCAAATGGAAACACTACGTTTTCTCCAAACAGCAAACCAAAGCAAAATTCCAAGATGTTAACCAAAAGGCAAATCATCCACTTCAACCTCTGCCTGCTTCTCTCTGTTCTGAAAGCACTGGCTGTTCTCAGAGGCCCTGCAGGTGAATAGCAAACTCCAACAGTAAGAAAGCTGAAGATCCCTGTTCTTAATGAGGCCTCAGGACACTTCTAGAAACACTGGCAGCAACACCTCCAGATATTGGCAAAGTTTGCTTCTCACCAGGAAGAAAAGGATCATGATCCAATGAGCTGAGTAGCGGAAGGAAGTTTTGGGCATTTTTTTGGACTGAGAAAATCAGTGACAGAGTAGACATTAGAATAAGGAGCAAAAGGAAAAGGTCCAGGCAGATGAAAATATTTGCAATTGTATTTAAAAGAAAGAATTTACATGTGGGGGAAAACCAAACAGCATTCCTTTACTAGAGACAAATAGGCTGAGTGGAGCTGTCATCTTATAAATATCACAAAGAAAGATATTCAAGTCACATGGCCTCAGTTTTCTCAGAAAAGGAGTGAGAAGTTTGAATGAAGATAGCTTGAAGGGGTGGAAAACACTTAGGACAAAAAGTTAACTAGTAAGGATTTAAAGGATTATCAAGTAAAAGTGCAGCATTTTAAGTTCAAATGGCATGATTTGTAGTGGATGCCTCCAGAGCAGAGGATCCAATACTCCTAAGCTGAGTCAAGTCCTTGAAGCTGACTCCCAACCCGCAGCCTGGCCTCTGGTGGTTTATCTAGGAACACAGTCCTTGCCTCAGTCACTTCAGTAACTGCCTTGGCCTCCAGAGCAATCCAAGGTCCTCAATATGACGTACAGGCCTTTCCTTAAATGACCCCACTTACTTCTCCAGCATCTTCTTCTTACCTTCTGTCATAATCAACTAGTTTTAGTTCCTCTGAGGACTCAGGACTTTTTATTACTTCTGGGATTTTGATCACACAACTCCCTCTGAAATGCTTTGTCCCTGTAATGCCTGGAGAGTAAACTTTCATTTATTTGAAGATCACCTCCTCCCAAAAGGCTTCTAGGATCACCTTAAGTAAAGCTGAGAACTGTCTCTTCTTTTACCAATATATCAACGTCCTGAACAAGCCCCTAATATCACATAGAGTTAGTCCATCACAGTCTATCAATTCTAAGATGTACATTTTTTAACAACAACAACAAAAAAAAATCTTTGAAATGAGGATGTATCTTACATTGAATGAATGGTGTGCTGTAGTTTAACTGTCAGGGTTTTAAATTTCTTGGTGGTACAAAAAAGGTGTATATTACTCTTAAGACCACTGGTGAAATACATCTTCATAGTTTAAGTTTCTGAGGTGAATGGAGCAATGCTTTGAATCTGGAGGCACTCTTGGTCCCTTCCCCCTATACAGTTGGCAATATTTGATTGTATTAACTTGGGAAGAGAGAGGTGTGATACTGACATTTAGTGGCTAGAGGCTGCTAAACATCCTCCAATGCATAGGACAACCCCCTCCTGCAACAATTACCCAGTCCAAAATGTCGATAGTGCCCAGGTTGAGAAACCCTAGTATAGAGTAACCATATTGATTTGGGTGTATGATATACCCTATTGTGTTTGATTTAAAATTAATCCTTTATAATATATAGTGTAACCTAATATTTAGCACTTTTTCCTAAATCTTGGCTTGGAGATCAAGAAAAGTAACTCTTGAAAAGTTATCTAAGCTTTTTTCCTCATCTTTGCCCTGCTGCCTTCTTCTGGACTCCCAAGAGGAATGAATGAAGCAATGCTCCAGGTTAAAACTGAAGCACCAGAAGGTCTGAAACTGACCTTCTTGTCAATTAGTTTAGTTAATGGCAAGGCCAAGATTGAAACTGAGACTCCCAGATTTCCATGAACCCACTCAGCCTGGGAGGCACTGCTCTGTTTCCTGACTCACATGGCTAATGGACCTGAAGAGGAAACTGTGCCCCACAAATATGAGGTACTTGATGAAGTAGGAGTTTATCATTAGAAAATAGGTCAAGCATAACACCAGGATCCAACTCTGTTTTCATCCCACTTTATGAGAATTAAGGTTGATTATGTAAGGTTGATTCCCTATGCTCTGTGGATATTGGATTTATGCAAAAATAATTACAGTTCAGGTGTTAAGGCATTTTAAATAAATGTATGTGATCTTTGCCATACAAAAGAGAAAAGGGACATAAGTGTATTTAAAGCTCTAGAAGGGTTATTAATTTGAAAGGGGAGTAGAGGAAGCTGTCTTCCATGCCTAGAGGCTTCACAAGTTGAAAGTGCCTTTAGGTGGAGCAGGAAGCTGATTTATATGAGAGGAAGGAGTGCCAGAGGAAGGTTCTAGTATGCTAAACTAGTATGCTGACTGCAGTCAGATGGACCACCCCCACCTCCCGCCCCTGATCTCCAGGTACTGAGTACCCAGAGCATCACTTGTTTCTTTCCCTTTCCCCTGGAGCGGTATCACTGTGGAGAGCCCCTTCCAGATCCCAAGGTACCACCAGTCTCCATCCTGGCCCCGCAGTCCCGCCCTGCGGAGAACCCTCAGCCTGAAAGGGGATGCTCGAAGCCACACTAACCTTTAGGTGGATGGGGAAGGACCGCTCCTGCTGGAGGGGACCCAGCAGCGTCTGTTCCACACTGACCAGCTCCGAGGTCGAGTCCACCACGCGGGCCAGCGCGCTGCGCATCGCCATCCGGGCCAGGGTGCAGGGTCCACGGCCCCGGGGGAAGGGCAGCAGATCCGCACCTCCCTCCGCGCCTCGCACCCCCTCTCCCTCCCGGCAGCTTGCTGCCACCTCGGCTCCACAGTTCCTGGCTCCCCGGCCCACGCCCCTCTCCTGGCGCCAGTGCCCTGGCTGGGCCCGCCAAGGGCCTGAGCGTCGCTTTGGGACAGTGGGCAAGTGATCCGGGTCGCGCAGGCCCCCGGGAGCGCCCTGACCGTCCCCCCACCCGCATTCCTGCTGCACCAGCTGCAGGGTCTGCAGGGCCACCATTTGGTGCCTGATGGAGGCCACTAAGGGCACGGGGCTAGTCATTGCCTCCGCTGGAGGCTCCGCGCACTCCACGGGCAGGTGGAACCGAGAGCGAGGGAGGCGGGAACCTTTGGGGGAGCCAGGGTCACAGATCCTAGCCCGCCGCTCCTCAGCCACCCAGCTTCACGACGTGTGAGGCCGGCCCCGCCCCCGGCCCGCAGTTGGTGACCCGCACCGGCCCGAAGAGGCTTGATCAGACCCAAGGCTGCCTCAAGCGCTGCTCCATGTGCACTTGAAAATCAGCCAGATCCTGAGCTTGGTTCTTCCTCCTCTCCAGGGCTTTGCTGGGAAAACATGCGGCTTTGTGCGGATGCATCCATTCTCATGAATACCCCGCCCCCATCGCCTGTGCAGGATACCAACAGGTGACCACCTAAGCACTGAGAGCTGGGGGTGGGGAGGAGAGGGAGCTTAAAATTCACTCTTGAACAAAAGTGTGTGGAGCCAGAGAAAATCTCAAAAGAAGGCTGTGGCCTTTCCCTCTCCCACACTTTCACAATACTATAGGGATTTTCAGGAAAATGTTGGAGTAGCAGTCAAGGCCTCAACGTCCCTCAAGCATAAAAAGGGGACCTGTGGGACTCACAGTTCTTTTGGGCTCTGCTTTGCTCCCTGCCACATGTGCTCAGAGAGCCTGACCACTAAGTAAAATCAGGAAGCAGCAGTACAGCCTGCTTCTGACACTATGCAGGAAGTCTGGCCTGGCACTGCCTAGATGAGGAGTCTAAATGGTTTTGAGTGAAACTCCCCGAGGACTTAGGCAGCGAGGTTTGCAGCTAAATTTTTTTTTATGATCCATGAACCCAGGGACAGCTGTACAAATAGTTGCTGGTCTTAATTAAAACTAGCTTCGCTACTTTCTTGACTTAGGAAAAAGGACTGGCAAATTTATGCTTTGATAGATTGGAAACTATTAGTGTATGATTGCACTTTGGAAAAAAAAGATACTTGAGGGCAACAGTATGGAGGACTGTTCCATAGCAGCTTATTTCTGCTTTCTTCTCTGGTGGGAAACCATTTAGATAACCCCACACTACACTAAAACATAGGGCAAAAGTGTGGATCTATGGGAGACAAGTGGACCTTGGCAGCCCCGGAGGATGGGATTTCATTCTTTTAGAAGGAAAAGTCCACCATGGTGTTGTGGAGTAAGATCCAAAGAGGCCCTTGAAGGCATTCTGGTGAGCCTGTTAGTATAGAACGGCAGTCATCAGAGATTTTGTAGGGAAGGATTCTCTCCTGGTCCTTTAAGATTTAACGTCAACATTGTTTGACCCTATATAATTCCCACAATTCTCCAGTGAATGTCCCTTGTCATTTTTAGTGTTTCGTTTTGCCTAGGTAAACAAATCTGAACGCCAATGTAAAGAAAATCTTTCTTAAACAAAAATCAGTATGTTCACACTGATTATAGCTAAGTAAAAATGTGTGTCTCTGCATTGAGAGAGGAAACTACTATGGAGGGAAGTAAATAGTTTAATGTTGATTAGATTCTCTTGCCATGAAGTTTCTTAAACTCATAATAAAATAAAATAGATTCTCTGTGTGTGTCTGTATGCACAAACCTGCACAATTCTCAAATGTTGAAATTCATTAGGTTCTGTAGAGACTAACTGGGATTCATAAAATCTAACCCCTGATTTTCTCAGAGCATGTTCAGATCTCCAGGGGTACTCCTCTTTCAAGATGCACAGGAAATCCAGTTTTATGGACTAACTCTTCCACTATAAAATGGCTGAATGCAAGACCTTCTTGACAGATGGAATTTCAGCCAACAGCAGAATTGAAATCACTAGACTCACCCTGACCTATGGCCTCACAGTTCTACACACCAGGCTGACTCTGATGGCCATGAGCCCAGCTGACCTTCAGGGGACAGGAGAGAGGGGGCCAGAAAACCATGTGGCCTATGGGATAGTATGTGTAGCTTTAAATAGGTGTCTGAGTTTTCTAGTCTCCTGTAGCAATCACTGGATTATCCAGCAGCTCAAGGCATTGTCTGTCTTGGCCATAGGCCACATTTTCCATTGCTATGACCTGGGAATGGCTGATGTCTCAAAACTAGAGATTTGGGGTCCTAACTGAGGAAAAAATATTCATAGACCATTGACATGTTAATAATAGCAGTTAATAACAGCAGATTTACCTTTGATCTGAAACAATTCCAAAAGTATATATGCAGAGATGCCAGACCAAGTAATAAATTATATACTCTCTACTCACTGTACTCACAATCTGATGCTACTATTTAATAAAAGGCACATTCAGAAGGACAAAGGAATAGACACATGAAATTGTTGCTTCACAACATGTTTCATTATTTTATGGAAACCATACCCTCATTTCCTAGTAGGTATTTTTCATCCTCCGTGCTCAATCCGTGTAGCTGGTAGAGTGTATCCATCCTACTGTAGAAGACTGAGGCATGTAGGCTGAGCCCAATCATAAATCACATTCCCACAGTAAGTGTTTAGAAGTGGGTGTAATGACCCAACTACAGAGAATATAGTTAGGATATGTTCAGTTGAATGTACTGTGTAAGAAAAAACAATGCAACTAGAAAAAATTATAGGCCAAAAATAAAAACAGTAAAAAGACAAATTCCCTTTAACTAAGAAAACTTAGCATGAAGTAGTTTCATTAATAATAACTTGTCTCAGATCACGAGCCCTAAAGTAGGAAGACTCCAGGGTTGATTAATCTCCAGGTACATCAGATCTCCAGGGATCTACTTTCTTATATACAAAGAAAATCCTGTTTCGTGAGGCCAAACTTTCTATCATTAAATAACTGACTGCAATAACAGTTTATAGATGTAAAACTGAGAAGATATAAGTTTTGGAGCTTCTACAGCATTCTTTTATTTATTTTTTTTTAAAGATTTATTCATTTATTTTTTGTGTAGAAGAATCAGGGTGTAGGCCAAAGGTGGGGGGTGGGGGTGAGAGGATTCACCAGAGACAGAGTGGGGAACAGAACAGGCAGACTGACTGAAATACACTGTTAAGGTGAGCAATAGGTGAGACAGGAGAGGTCTGCTGCATCATATGTGGGTTAGCTCCCTGGCCGGGGATTGAACTCATGCCATGGTGGTATATCCCTGAGACTTAATGCCTAGGCCACTAGGGAGGCCCTTTGCAGCATTCTTGTGAGGCTGAGAGGAGTGCCTCCCTATGAATGAGGTAATATTTGATAGAGGAAAGTCAAGAAGATATCTGTAGGGAGAAATTAGTGACCTTATAATATCATCCAAGTCCCACATTTAGCTATATAAAAAGAAAGCCCCTCATCTGAACTTTTCACTTATACATATTATAAAATCTCTTTATGCCTGAACCAAGTTTGGGTTGAGTTTACTGCCTCCTACAACACAAATCACAACTGAAGCAAATTGCTTGACATATATTATAAGGATAAATAGGATGTTAATGGAATGACCCTCTCATCCAGTGCTTCTCAGACAAACACTGTTGAAAGATCCATCCAGTCATTTCCTGCATGTTTTTATCTTTTTTTTTAATGGCTGGGTTTTTTTTTTTTAAGATTTTATTTATTTATGCATACAAGAATTGGGGTACAGGCCAGAGGCGTGGGGGGTGAGAGGATTCACCAGAGACAGAGTGGGGAACAGAACAGGAAGATTGACCAAAGTACACTGCTGAGGGGAGCAGCAGGCAAGCCAGGAGAGGTCTGCTGTGCCATGTGGGTAGCTCTCTGGCCGGGAATTGAACTCATGCTGCAGTGGCTGAGGTCAGCTTCACAGGCACACTTAACCCTTGTGCCTGTGAGGCACAGGGAGGCACCTGTTTTTGTCTTTTATCTACTACTAAATACAATTATTTTGACAATTGTGAGAGAAGTTCTTTGAGCAGTTCTGGTCATTCCTGATAACTGAGTGGGGCATTAGAAAATTAGCAATGGAAACATTCATGTCCCTGGATCGTTTGAGATGAAAAAGGGAAGAAGATATAAAACTCAGTAAAGTGAAAAACAATTTTCTGCCTATTAATGGACAAGGTAGTATTGTTATTGCATGGCCAAGAAGTAATCATGAACACAAAACTGTTAAGGGATGCATGCTCTAAGAAGGATCCTGCCATCCACATGCACAAAGGCAAAAGAAGCAGAATCTTAATATGAAATAAATTTTTAGCATTGGTGTGCACAGTGAGAGAGAGAGACAGAGGGGGGGGGGGAGGATTCCCAATAGTAGTTTAGTAATAAAATTCCCCAAATTACCCATCCCCTCATAGGCAAATGTCAAGTCAAATAGGATTAACTTGAAGCAGGGCCACTAAGGCTAGAAAACTTGCCAAAAATCTAAGATACTTTCTAGCAGGGAAACACAAGGAAGAGGTTAGCTAGGTTCCAGAGAGCTGGGACAGAAGGAAATACTAAACTTCAAAATATGCCATATCCAGATAATGGCTGTCATTGTGTCCACCAAAAATGAGGAGCAGACTCCTCACGTTTCTGCCTGCATGTCTCTTCCAGGCATCTATTTCAAGTGTCTCTACTTGTCTGTGCCCCATGCATCTCCTCTAAGTTCCCCTTCACTTTTGTCCTCCCCTTTGATTGTATATTCAACTCACTCCTTCCCAACTACCCACCATCCAGGCAGTGTGGCTCAGGGCATACTGAGACTGGTAATACAAAGTATCTGCCCATAAGTGGGGGCAGGTCTGGCACACAATGTATTCTCTTTCCCTTTCACAGAAATATATCTGCAACAGAGTACTGTTAGATAGACAAGTATTCTACCACTGCTGTTAATCCAAGGGTTCTTTTGCTACATGAACAAAAACTATGAAATCAGGAAGAAGCTGGGCACACTCAGAACAAAATGGAGCTGGCAGAAGACATAGCTATGTAGAACCTTCCTCAAAGAACTTGACTGAGCCCAGACACATACAGCCTTCTTTGGCATTTTTCTTCAAAAGGGTTCCAAGAATATTCCAGAAATGGATCTGTTAAGTTTCAACACACCCTGATGAAGTTCATAGGTCAGAACAAAACAAAACATGTCCAAAGAGACCAAAGAGTTATTATTCTTGACTA